GCAGGAAAAGGGGGGAGGGCAGGGAGAGACAGGGGGTTGGGGAGAGGGGGGAGAAATTGGGGAATAGGGGGGCAGGGAGAGCAGAAACATATCTCCACTCCTGGGTCGTCCTGTAGCCGTCCCTGCCGTCAGTGCTCGCGAGCACGGCTCAATGCTCCCCACCACACCCACACTGCTGCTTGCGACAAGGCGTATGCTATGCTCCCACCACGAAACCCTGACCCCGAATTGAACCACAAAACTTTCAACTCTGAATCCCGGGTTTAGAGTCCTGATAACAAATACTTACTTGGAGGGGACAGCGATGCTGAACGTCCCTGCCACGTTCAGATCTGAGAAGTCCGCGCTGTAAAACTCTGCATTGGGGATCATCCGACATGGCAATGAGAAGGGGAGGAGGCGGGTGATGAGGATGGGTGATTATCCGACGTGGCAATGATGGAGAGCCATCTCGAGTCACGGATTACGAGAACTGACACAAAACGCGACAGCCATTTTATCACGTTAAAGAATTCATTACGATAAATCTCCACAAAATTCAGACTCGAACTTTCTGGAGAAAGGATTTCAAGCAGGAGCGGGGAGAGCGATAGGGAAGGGATGGAGGCACTGACTGGCGGCGGGCGTGGGCGGCGGGAAGAGCATCGTTAGGACGGCCTTGACGAACGCGAGGCCCGCTTTCGCGGCGCGCTGCTTGGCCGCCTCGCTCACCGCCTCTGCTCCGGGAAGTGACGACGAGAGCAGCACGCCTGAAGAGGACCACAAAAGCAAGTTCATCAGAATGATGACAATGAAAAAAGCAAGCTAACCAGAATAATGGAAATTTTATAATAGCGAGTTCATTGGAATGATTACAAATGATAAGAGCAAGTTCATCAGAATGATGAAAAACGATTAAAACGACAGCGAAATACGACGTAGTTTGAAAAAAGCATGGCGATGGGTTTTTTTTTTTTTTTCATAAGCCTGATTAACAGCCCAGCGATCGATGAGAGAGGCATAGGTTGATGAGAAGTCGTACTGGCGATGATGAGGAGGCACGTGAGAACACGGGGGAGAGCCATCGCGGGTGTTTCTGTTGTGTCGCTGAGAAGCCCTAAACGATACCACTGATGTGAAAGGAACTCGCGGTTGCAACAGTGTTTGCGGTCTTAAGAGAAGAAGGAGCTCTTTGAAAGGAATGTTTAGGGAAGAGAAAGGCTGTTGATGAGAAAAGGATGTGGCTCTGATGGTGGTAATAAACGATTTACGGATGAGAAGGCTTGCGTCCAAGGGTGGAAGTGAACACGCAGCGCTCAGCTGCTTTGTGTGAGGTAAGCGCGAAACCCGGACCGTCATTGTCGGTCCGTCAACCATTTGGCCAGGGGTCCAGCGATAATGCAAACGTCCGCGTTCCATTGGAGAAGTGAAATAATAGAGGCTTCATGCGTTCCGTTATTCACGGAACGAAGCAAGAGACGTTCGCGTCTCAGCTGCGCCGATGGAACCTAGTTGGCAGGAAATAGGCTGAGCTATGTACGCGTTCCTGAATGGTGAAAGCTAGGAAGAAAACTGGGAAACTGATTGACTGGCTGGCTGGTTGAGATGTATGAGGCGAAGGGGTGCTTCATGGCGCAGGACGGTTTCACACGGTGGAAAACTGTTTTGAGCTTTACCGTGTGGCTGGCTGGTTGTGACCGTTTGAAGGCGATGGGGAGAGGAGAGGAGGAAGAACAATAAAAGCTGACGGAAATCAGCACACCAATAATTCCGTTCCTCATCTGACAGAGCCGTCAGACTCCGTCAGCTGCGGGCTGTTGCTGGTCGCGGTTCACTGAATCCTAAAATGAACGGGGCTGACCGTGAAGGAGGATGGTTGAAAGGGAGCTGTTTATTGGGTTTGTGTCGCTGAAACGGGTTTTTCGTTGGTGTCTGAACGAGTCAGCGACTTCTGACGAAACCCTTCGCAAGTGGGGGTGCCACAGAGGGTGGTGGTAATTCAGGATGTCAACTTTCGCACGTAAGGTTTCTGCCCCGTGTCATGGAAATATTTGGTACTGCATTATTGCTGCCCAACAAGGGCGGGCAGATTTTCAAGATGAGCTCGCCCAATCACTTCATCGGAAGCAAAAACTTATTTCTGCCAACCAAACACACCAATGCGATTTTCAAATAGCGCGCTTCGGACACCCAATAATGCAGTGCCTGATTCTAACCTCCAATCCCATCGCCCCACCCGATCCATTCCTTCCTCCGCCCACCTCTATCCATTGTTATCTCTCTGCAACGCATATTAATCCCCTGTAAGCCTCCGTAAATTCCTCAGCCAAGCTTATCCGCCTCTACCCCATCCTTCTTCCCAAGCAGACGACTCCACACAGTACATAACTCAACATACTTCACAACATTCATCAGTTCACATCGTGCTTTTCACCTCTCGAGCAGCAATCCCGCTTGCACTTGTGCTCATTCTCGCTCCTACCCAGTTTTCTTCCAGACCAGACCGAGCTTCTTCTGCTAATTCTTTCTACCTCCATTGTCCGTTCACGGCATTTCACTCAAACGTGTCGTCATGGCCCGCCTCGCAATTCCGCATTGGCTCGTATCCTGCCTTATGTGCCTTCCTGGTAAGAATCTTCAAGGCGCAAAATTCAGATGGCCCGTTCATTACAGCTACCCTCATCTTTGAAAGAAATCGAAGCCTCTGCGGTTGTATTTTACATCGATTTACGCTGAAAACAAAAAATCATACACGATACACTTGATTTTCGCCGCAGGACTCGTGCTTCTCCTCTGCGCGGCGCCTGTCACCATGACTTCAGCGGCGTTCGAGGTCGCGGACGCGGATATCAAGAAATTCGTTCCAGCAACCTCTTCGAAATCATGTAAGTCCATACGCGTCACCGCTTTGACCCAGCGTCACGCTCAGTTTGTGTTACCATTCTGAGACTAGAGCGGTCTCAGCGGCTAACCCCTCGTTCTCCCGTTCCCACTCCATATCTTTGCAGCATTCTACAGTGCTCTGGTGGTGTCGTCATACGAATCGCAGGGGACCGTGATCGTGCGTATGCCTGCCGAGTAAGTCCGGCCTTCCAAAAGTCTCCCCGTGCCGTCGCATTCCTTCATTCCTCCATATCACGAAGATTCTCCAACCCAGCCGGCTGAAAAACCGCCGTTTCTGCTGACTTCTGAAACCTCCGTGTTATTCATACTCCCCCCTTCCTCCCTCTCCCCGCCCGCTCCTCGCGCTCCCATCACCCCAGCACGGGCCTATTCCCGGTGGTTCTCCGGGTGGTCATGGCGGGAACCGTCGAACCGCCAACGGACGTCTTACTCGATGGCACGTCTCTGGCGTCGGACGCCAGTCAATGGAAACTGGTGGCTCCGGGTGTATGGGACCTGACTAGGAGTCTCGACTGGGGGGCCATTGCTCTAGGAAGCGCCTTGATTGGTGTCGGGGCCGAAGTGTCGCACGCGGATGTGAACGGCAACGCGATTACCGCGTCAGGATCGCTAGCGAAGATCGGATCTCTCGATACTGGTACGGACGCTCTAGTTATGAATCCGGCAAAGCAGATTGTGTTCTTCTTCCATCCATTCGTTATGATTACTCGTGACAGAACAAGTTATACTGCGTTGCGGCGGACTCTGTGAATTGCACCCTTCCCATTGCAATCCCCCTGATGCACCCCTCCTCGTGCATCCCCCCCCCATTCCGCCTTTTCCCGTTGTGACTCTCCCAATGCGCCCATCCGCCCCTCCCATGTGCCAGGCCTCGCAGTGCTGCCATCCATGTCAGGCGGCCGATTCCAAGCCATGTTCTCGGGGACCGTGGCTGGGGGAGCCAAGATCCGCATCGCCACCAGCACGTGAGTTCGTAATTTCGGAACATCTATTGCGATGAGAGTGGTAACGGCGAAAGCCAATCCAGAGAGGCTGCATTCGAGGGGTTTGGGATGGTGAGGCTGGTCAGAGAGGAAACCTAGAATGACAAATTTCCGAGAATATAAGACTACAAGCAAGCAAATCGACTTATATTTGCTCTACTTGTTGTGTCCTCTGCTGCCCCCCCTTCTCTCTGCCCCCCCTCTCTGCCCCCCCTCTTTGCCCCTCCCCTCTATCCCCCCGCCATATAGCGACACCAAGGTCAGCCTGGAAGAGCACCTGGCCCTCATCAGAGGCGTGAAACTAAACTCAGCTTGTGCTCTTCCCTTCACCTGCTTTACCTCTTGTGTCCTGCTGCCCCCCCTCTGCTGCACCCCCTATCTGCACCTCCTCTGCCCACTCTCTCTGTCCCCCCTCTTTCCTGCACCCTCTCTCTGCCCCTTCTCTCTGCCCGTCAAGCAGCAACACCAAGGTTACTCTCGAGGTGCACCTGGCCTTCACCAAGGGCGTAAACACCAACTCAAAGGTCTCTCTGGTGGGTCAGGTCGGAGCCGACAAGTCTGCCCCTCTCACCCTAGCATGCCCCTTCACATCGAACATCAAGGGAGTGTTCACTTGCTCCAAGACTGTCGACGTGAAAATCCCCGCGGGAGCTGCTACCACGGCCGGCGTCTTGGGACTGCAGAAGTTTATGGCTGCTCTGGTGGGAGCTACCATGTCAGGTGATCACCTGGCGGCAACCTTCACCCTGATAGTGAATGGGCAGCAAGAGACCCTTTACTACGGTTTGTAGTTCTATCTTATCATTCCCGTGGAGTTCTTGCTTGTGAAGTACCGTCATGGGGGTGATGTGAGAGGAATTGTGCTGTAACTGCATATCGTGGATTGCAACTAGGAACGGGGTCTTAAACGGGAAATGGGAGCATATGCTGCTTGTAATATAGTGAATGTTTCTGCTTAATGATGACATTGTACACTGGATAACATTCGAAGACAAGATTCAGTTTGAAGCTGGAGGAGCTTGGGGACCCAAGTCACTTAGCTTCTTGTTATGCGGGTCCACGATCTGCAACCAGTTGAGAGTTAGTTCAGGCGAAGATGTCAGGGATAGTCACTGGAGCAAAGGCCCAACTCACCTTGACGATTATGATGGCAATCACTCCAAGAATAACAAGCGCCAGCATTGCCAAGATGCATTTATCTGTTGCCATCTGCTTCAGTGGTTGTGTTAAGCAGGTCGCATGGTTTAGGGAAAAGAGAGCACTCACCATCATCTGACTCACCTGTCGGCCCAATGCCTTCACAAGCTTGGCTGCCCGCTTAAGGGAGAATTCTAAATTGTCAAGCTTATCAACAATCCGTTCCATTTGTTCGGTCTGCACGCGTCACACAAGAGTAAGAACACCGCACTTACAAGGCAGAATCTTCAGCGCCATACCTGTCCCTTCAAAGTCGTGGCCGTTGCTGCTCCAATGTTGATAGTGTTCTCAACTACCTGAAACACGAAAAGCACATACGGTAATAAACATATGCATCGCCTTCGACAAAGGTCTTCGAAGCAAGAAAGAACCTGCTTGGATCTTAGAACAGATTGGTCCGCTTGTCCCATCACACGATTGCCCTCCTCCATCAGCTGAGCATTTGTCATCGCTGCAGGGAGATCAGGAATGAAAGATCAGTACGGCTGCGGAGCCAGATGGAAATTCATACGTCAACCAGGAAGGAACTGTTACCAGATGCTAGCCTGGGAGCTCCCACAACTTCAGCCGTTCTTCCATCCTCGCTCAGCTTCACCTTCTGGCCTTCCTGGATAGCGCTCTGGTAGCTGCAAAAACAGCCTCATGATTAGAGCTGGGGTAATGACATGAATGATTACACCATGTACGAACGTTTTTTTGAGAGTGACGAAGGCGTTCAAATCTTTCACAAGGTTCCTTTTCTTCTCCTGCAGCAATTTGTTAACTTCTGGTGAGTTCTTAGCTTCTTGGTCTTTCATGTCACGCTCGAATTCCTGAATCAACCTGCAATAAGATCCGTTTGCTCAGTAACGCGACTACGTAACTTCGACGCAACGGCAGAGTTTTCATATCCACCTTCTGCACTCTCTAAGTTTAGGCGTGACATCTTCCAGCAACTGGCTTTGTCGAGAAGGGTCTTCGCACTTGTCAATCTTTGAGAAGGTGGTCCTGGAACAGATAAAGAGTGTCAAACTCTGCATAGGTTCTAAGCGTACTATATATTCACCTCATTCAACCGACTCACTTCAACTGGGTGAAGCTTCTACCAAGCTGGTTCGAGATATCGTTCAGGGAAGGCGGCAGGTTTGTTAACGACATTCTGCCTCACAGCGTCCAGAATCGTCCCAAAATCGTGACCTTGGATAATACAGTCTGTTTGTGTACCGAATCTGATTTTCAGGAAATGGCATGAAGCGATTCATCTGTGACCAACCCTAGAAGCCCTCTGCACTTGGTCTCTGGCAGGGTTGAGGGAAGCGCTGCGCATCCCCGTGAAGCAGCCACTGCCAGGAAAAGGACTCAACTTTTTGAACTGACTCATTTCAGTGTAACACTGACAATGATTCAGGATATACTGGTAGTAATATATGAATAAAATCTGGAAGCATTGTGACTGTCAGGCCAGATCACATGTGTTCGACCTTCTCTCGTTCTGGAGATTTGATACGAGCAAAACAACAATTTTCCAACAAGGATATATTTATGAAAAAAAAAATCAAGCACGAAGCGGCTTCAATCCAAGTTTCGCACGAAGCTTGTTGGCTTCCGCGATTTCAGGATCCTCATGATCTGTCCCATCTGCTGCTTTCTCTTTCTTCTTGCTCTTCTTCTCCCTGCCACATTAAAAACGAAACAATGATGAGCAAAACGACTATGTGACAACAAAGGATATATGTGTGCTGTGTAGAGATTTGGTGATGTAAACCCTATGGACAGCATACTTACTTGGTCTCGTCAGCCGCCTCATCTCTTCGATCGCGTTTCCTCGAATCACCATCCCTGTCCCTGTCTCTATCCCGCTCCCGCTCCCTGTCCCTGTCCCCATCCCTGTCTCTCTCCCTATCCCTACCCCTATCTCTTTCCCTGCTCCTGTCTCTTCCCCCATTCCTATCCCTGTCCCTGTCTCTGTCTCTCTCCCTACCCCTGTCTCTTGCCCAATCTCTGTCCCTATCCCTATCCCTGTCCCTCTCCCTGTCTCTGTCCCTCTCCCTGTCTCTGTCCCTGTCCCTGTCTCTGTCTCTGTCTCTCTCTCTCTCTCTCTCCCTGCCTACTCTGTCCCTGTCTCTATCCCGGTCCCTGCAAAGGTGGAAGCAAAGAGGCAACAAACAGAGAGATGTTATTGGTGTACAGATCTGACCTTAAGCGCACTTCACGCTACTCATTTCATCTTTATTCATCTATGAACCACACCAAAAAACACCCAATGATGTTCAGTGCTTTATACTTCTCTCAGAGCACTGCCAGCACTGGGAAACCTGGAAGCACTGATACCCATGACTGCACACTCAAGGAGCTCTGAAGAACTCTATAAGGAGTACAAAAATAGGTTTGTTCTTGGGAGAACATATGACACAAAGGCAACCCTCGTCCATGAAAAAAACGAGGGGACAAGAGTGAGTGGGCCATCTGGGAAAGGCAGCCTTGCAATGACAAGAAGTCATTGAAGGACTGCCTAGAAAAAGATGAGCTCTTGCCGCCTTGCGCGCACAACTGCAGCATGCTTCAGGACGCTTCCCAAGAGGATGCTTCCCAGAAAATGCACAGTCGGCTGTTCTCCCTATCGAGTTAATGAGCGGAATTCAAACAACAAATAGCTATGGGCACTTTGCAAACACTACCAAACGTTGCTCAGGAAAACAAAGACAAAAAGTACCTGAAATAAACTATCTGAGTACAGTGGGATACTGAATACAGTGGCACATACCTGTCTCGATCCCTGTCTCTGTCTCTGTCTCTGTCTCTGTCCCTGTCCCTATCTCTTTCTTTGTCCCTGTCCCTGTCTCGGTCACCCTCTCTTTCCCGATACCGATCTTTCTCCTCAGCCTGGACACACATGTATGTGCGGACAAAAACGGGAGAAATTCGAAAACAAAAACAGGTTGTAAAAAGAAACAAAGAGAATATACATGGAATGCACGAATGAATTAGGAATCTTTCTCATGCATTCATCCGTGCATTCAACAGGAGCGGAAAGAGGACTAGGTCGTACCTTATCAGCAACTGGTTCTGGCTCCTCTTCCTCCTCTTCCTCTTCCTCCTCCATCTCGTCATAATCCAACCCACTCTTTCTCAGCTCCAACTGCCCTGCTGCTTCCAACGTCCATCTGGAAAAAAGAAGATAAAAAAAAACACCAGATAGTAAAACTGCCGGAAGACTTGCAGATTGAATTATGTAAATACATGACAGACAAAAAAAACCAAAAAAGGGCTCGAACCAGGAGCAAAACACGTGCAACATAGACCACAGAGAACAAGGTTAGAATCAAAAGCAAGCCTCATACCTGCGAGGTATGCGAGGCAATGCGATGTCGCAGCTGGAGTCGAGCGTGAGAAGCTCCTCTATGAACTCGTCCACATGCGACAACACAAACACTAGGGGGAAATAAAGGGTGGAAGGGGGCGAGCGGGCGGTGATGGGGGAGCAGGGAGGTGAGGTGATGTCGCAGCTGGAGTCGAGCGTGAGAAGCTCCTGTATGAACTCGTCCACGTGCGACAACACAAACACTGGAAGTGTGGGGTAGTGCACAGTAAAGGGGGAGTGGGGGGGACGAGTGGGGGGACGAGTGGGGGGTACGAGTGGGGGGGAGGAGTGGAGGGAACGAGTGGGGGGGGCGATTGGGGGAGAGAGGTGAGGTGATGTCACAGCTGGAGTCGAGCGTGAGAAGCTCCTCTATGAACTCGTCCACATGCGACAACACTAACACTGGAGGTGTGGGGTAGTGCACGGATGGGGGGAGAGGGGAACGAAAGGAGGGGGATGGGGAAAAGGAGGGACGGGCGGGGGTAAGCAATGTCACACTGGAGTCGAGTGTGAGAAGCTCCTCGATAAACTCGTCCACGTGCGAGGAGCTTCTCGATAAACTCCTCCAACACAAAGGCTGGAGGCACGAGGTAGTGCGAGGAGGGGGGGAGGGGTGGGGCAGAGGGGGGAAAGGGGGGAGTGGTGAAGCGATGTTGTGACTGGAGTCGAGTGTGAGAAGCTCCTTAATAATTTTGTACAAAGGTTCCAGGTACGAGTTTATACACGCTTAGAATGGCTCCACGTCCGAAATGGCTTCTGCACTAGAGCACTTGAAACCTACCCAAATAAACCTCTCTACAATAATGAAAGACAAGAGCAGTAACTCACTTCCACTCTCCAGTTTCCTCCACACTTTGCGGTAGTCGTTGTACAGAGGCTCCAGGTACTAGTACACGTCCCTGGTGGCTTTCGGGCTAGCACACTCAGAAACTTAAGACACCTAGCCCACACTTAGAGACCTCTCAAGGATAACGATGGACAAGAATGGGAACTCACTTCCGCTCTCCAGTTTCCTTCGAACCTTTCGACAGTCGTTGTACAGTGGCTTCACAGGTACTGGTACACGTCCCTGGTGGCTCCCAGGCTAGCGCATATACAAACCTAGACACACCTAGAACTTACAACGATAACGATAGATAGGCGAGAACAAATAACTCACTTCCACTCTCCAGTTTTCTCCGCACTTTCCGATAATCGTTGTACAGCGGCTCTAGGTACTGGTACACATCCATTGGCTTGCCCACCAGCCGCAGGTAAAACGCTCCAAGCAGGCGAACGTACCTGCGGAGAAAGGAAGGGGGTGCATGGGAGAGAGGAGGGGAATGGCAGGTATGAGAGTTGGGTGATGGAAAGAGTAGGTCTGAGCTGAGTGGCTCCAGGTACTGGTACACGTCCATGCGCTTGCTCACCAGCCGCAGGTAGAACGCTCCAAGCAACCGCACATACCTGAGGGGTATAAGGGGGGCGGGGAGTGGAAGGGGGAGGCGGGAAGGAGGGGAGGGGGGGAAGGAAGGAAGGAGACGATATAGGTTGCAAAATTCCAACAATAGAGCGTCGTCGCCCCTTAAAAAGCCCAACTCGCATCCCCGAAAAAAACGATAAAAACTGAAGAATCTTGAAAACCACGCAGATGTGACCGTCGACACATCAAGTAACGTACTCACTTGTAATCTGAGTTCTTTATAAACTCGACCACGATCTCCTTCTCGGGTTGAATCTGAAGCATCTTGAGAATGAGGCACATGAACGGGGTGGGCTTGCGATTTCCTCCGAAGGTTCCTCCGAAATGGTCCAGATCCATAGCTTTGTCGACCAGGGTTTCAGCTGCCGCGAAGAGACGGAGGAAACACCACGAAAAATGAAGGGTTTTTATTTACAGAAATTTAATTGCTTGCAGGAACGGGGACGAAAACAGGGGAACCGGGAAAACGATATTTACCCAAGAAACTCAAGTGGCATAAGTGGAAATAAGGGTGAAGAAACGCAGACAGGAAGAGACGGAACCGAAACTCGCAACGCGAAACAGCGACAAAGGTCACGAAAGGTATCGGGAGGCGGGGAGGGGAGGGCCGGGGGGAGGGCGGAAACGGCGGAACATAACGATAATCCGATAATCTCGAGGTCTAAGGGTTAGAAGGTCAGTGTTTGAGAGAAAGTGGTCAAGAGGACGCAGCATCGAGTTCATCGGCAAAGGCGACGAAAAGCTGACGCAATGAGAACGAAAGAAAAGAAAATTAAATGAACAATTCCTCTTTCGAAGTCGAAAAGACGAACCTGTGAGGCCGAAACATTGCTCCTTCCAGTAAATGTTCTGATAGATCTTGGCGCGCAGAATCTTCTCCACCAGATTCTGCGGGTTCGTGCCGTGAACCGTTCGCGCCCTTGGATCCGTTCGATTTGCCATGGCGCATCAAGAAGACGACAACAATCACCTTGTCTATCCGCAGCGATCTCCTAAAGCGCAACGTCAAGGAGACAGTGATCACTGGTTCTACACTCGGAACGATTTTCTAGGGTTCGACGTCGAACGGGAGGCCTCGCCGGAAGTGAATGGCCGTCACCCTCCAGAAGAGAGTTCCGCTTTTACTTCACCCTCGTGCCATAGACATGAATACTTACCCTAACAGCTGACGAAGTGGTAAGGGCGTGTCTCACGAGCTCGTTTACAGTTCAAGTTCAGTTTTGTAACCCTGTTTCCCGTCTGAAACCCTTCCCTGCATGACATGCGTATTCAATGACGCACCGGATGACACGCCTAGGACGTCAAGATGTTCGTACTATCCCACGTACAAGGTACGTGAGATCACTTCGTACCGGGTCCTCCATTACGTTACCCCAATCAGAGACTTCGCCCACATTCAGTCGCGCGAAGAAAAAACTAAACTTCGCAAAGAGCACAGTTGATTCGCACTGTGGCCGGTTACCGCTCGCGGCCCATGTTCGGATGACGATTTTTGTGTGGGTGGGGCTATGACTCCGCGTGGGTCAATTTCGTTTGGCGCTGTGCTGACGCGCTGCGTGTTTTTCACGTCAGAGTGTACACTCTTTTGCTTTGTCGAAATTACGTAAATAATATGATTTTCTACCCAAATGAACTCATGGGATACGCCCTAAGACTGCCTAATGGGAAAGTACATCCCAGCTCCTGTGTTTCAGATTTCTCTCATATTTAGCTCCAGGTTCACTAAAAAAGTACTACTTTCTGGAAGTTTGCTCACGCGAGGCCCAGATTATGTTCAAAACTGGTCCTGCGGGAATTTTTTTTCGACACGTGTCCAATTCGCATTATTTTTTTTCGACGGGTGCAAAAAACATAAAACTCCTCGGGAACCAGGACACATTTGCGGGACGGATCAACCCTAAACACCTAGCGGGTCCCCGTATTTAGGGTTGATCCTTCCCGAAAGTGTGTCCTGGTTCCCTAATGGTTTTCTGGTTTTAACTGTGAAAACTTGAGCTAGGCTAAGGAGCCATAGCTAGTTGAGTTCGAGTGAGTTAAGTTAGAGTCGAGAAAGTGAAAAGAGAAGAAGGGTTTTCACTATAGAGCGAGCAGTACATATAGGCAGAATGAAAGGTGCACCACCAAAACAGAACATTATATAACTACACTAGTCTACACTACAGGCAGTTACAAAAACAATATATAGAAATATATATTATTCTTGACACGCCCCCATAAGTGCCTGTAGGGAAGAATATGCAGTCAACGCCCCCATAATGGGGTACACCAAGCAGGAGCAGTGACAACCAATGCAGAAAACAGAGAACAGAAGGGAGAGAGGAGAGAGAGAGGAGAGGAGGTGATAGGCTCTGGTTGGTCACCCCCTACATCCCCTCAACCTCCCCCTCCCCCTCCCCATCCCCCTCACACTGCTGCAGGAGCAGCAGAGGGGGGGGGGAGGGGGCAAACGGAGGAGAATGGGGCCGTAGGGCTAGGGGAACAGACATTACCCATCACCCCCACACCCGCCACCCCCAGTCCCTCCCCGGGCTCCCCCACACTCTCACACCCTCCCCCCCAGCGGCAGCTGCAGCAGAGGGAACAAAAGGAGGAGGAGAAGAGGGGGGAGAGGGAGGGGGGGGGGGCCGACGCACGGCCTCCCCGGGCGCCAAAGCAGGCGGCAGAGGGGGCGACGCCTGCCCCCCCCTTCCAGGTCGCCCCTCCCGTCACCTGTCGAGGCGACCTGAGGGGGCCGCGTGCGGCCCCCGAAGGAGCCGCGACGGGTGACGGGAAAAGGGGGGGGGGGCGGTGCACGTGCCCCCGGTGTGCCGCGGCTGGCGACAGGGCATGGCCGGGGCGGGGTCGGGGCCGCAAGAGGGCGGGGCCGCAGGTGGCATCGGTGCCTAGGGTGGGTACCGCACGGGCGGCGACGGGCCGGGACGGGCGGCACGTGACGCCGCGAAGGGCGGTGACGGGCTGGTACGGGCGGCGACGGGCCGGGACGGGCGGCGACGGGGCCGCAGGAGTAGGGCGGCGAGGCCGCAGTGTAGGGCGGCGGGGCCGCGACAGCAGAGAGGCGGCGAGGCCGCGACAGTAGGGCGGCGGGGCCGCTTAAGAAGGTGCGGGGCCGCGAGCGGGTGGCGGGGCCGCGAATGAAAGGGCACACCACGGGGCGTGCAGTACACTCAGTAGCAGCGGAAGCAAAAGGCCAGGATCGTAACTCTCTCTGATAGCATGTGAAAACTTGAGCTAGGCTAAGGAGCCATAGCTAGTTGAGTTCGAGTGAGTTAAGTTAGAGTCGAGAAAGTGAAAAGAGAAGAAGGGTTTTCACTATAGAGCGAGCAGTACATATAGGCAGAATGAAAGGTGCACCACCAAAACAGAACATTATATAACTACACTAATCTACACTACAGGCAGTTACAAAAACAATATATAGAAATATATATTATTCTTGACATTAACCCCGTCGAAAAAAATCTGACGCGAAAATGGACACGTGTCGAAAATTTTGTCCCGCAGGACCAGTTTTGAACATACTTTGGGCCTCGCATGAGAGAAATCCCAAAAAAACCTGCCTTTTGGTAAATCGGAGGCTAAATATGAGAGAACTCCGAAACACAGGAGCTGGGATGTACTTTCCCCTGCCTAATCGTAAGGGCGAGGTCAGGTCATTACACACAGTGAAAAGCGTTTTTCGACGACTACCGCTCTGCACCGTGTTGAAACGAATTTTACCAGAGAGGGCGTACAAAAAGTTGTACAACCTGACGTCGCCCTAAGGACACGTCACCTGAAGCGGATCGATTGGCTGGAAGATCGGTTTTGCGCATGGGGTGTAGCACTGTAGCGTCGTGATCAACAAAGTAGCTAAATTTCGGGGAAATTATGTCACGAGTAACCAATATGGGACTCGATAACGTGAGTGGTAAAAACAAAACGCGTGAGATCACCCTATCGGGTTTGCTGACGGGCTTGGTAAGTGGGGTCACGGATTCAGTAACTCAAAACAGGTTAAAAAATCACGCGAGTAGTCACACATGTAACTCCCGCCAAAAACTCTTGAAACTCTACAAAATTCCCCGCTCGCGCCAAACTAATCAGATAACTTCTAAAAAAACTAAAAACCAATCGGAAACGGCGACGGTTCGGGAACGGATCAACCCTAAACACCTGGCGAATTGTGTTTAGGGTTGATTCATCCGAAAATGTATCCAGGTTCGTTTTGGGTATTATCTTTTTGAGGCGGGAGTTTCATTTGTGACCATTCGCGTTTTTTTTTTTTTAAGTTGCGAAGCAACCCTTTACAATCGATTTTGCCAAATTTTATTTTCATATTTATATTTATTAAAACACGAAAATAAAATTCGTAAACTACAGTAATACCCTTCCCATACTGTGCATGTTGAGAAGTTTTAGATATTGTTCACTATCTTTTGGGGAATGATTTTCCTTCATTGTAATAGTTTGTTGTCATGTTTGCAGTATATTTTTTCCGTGCTGATCGGTGCAATGATAATTACTTGATGAGAAGAATAGAACGAGAATGAAATGACTATGAACGAAGTGAGTACAAATAGGAAACCCTAATTGGGTTGTACCCCCTATAGGATACCCCACTATAGCCTACACAAATAAGTAACCTATAATGTTCTGACACACCCCCATAGGCAAAGTGGGGGAGAACAAGGGGTCACAAGACCAGTCAAGCAAAGCAAAGCAAAGCTCAGGGTGGATCACAAAGTCACCACACATTCCGAGCACAAGTTCAAAGGCCAGAAGGCCAGTCCACATGCAAGATCATATACTGAGATATACAAGAGCCAAGCAAGCAAGTGCAAGAGTATATATATGTGAAGGTACAAGCAAGGTCAAGAAGTGAGCAAGTGAGGCAAGACAGGCACAAGACCCAGCTGCGTGCAGCAGCGCTGATGATCACAAGGCGCAAGTGCCTTGGTGAAAACATCAGCAGTGTTGGCCTCAGAGGCCACGTACGCAAGTCGCAACTGTCCACGCTGCTGTAGCTCACGAGCAAGAAAGTAGCGGAGAGCAATGTGCTTTGTCCTTTACTCCAGCCGCTGCTCTCGACACAAGGCCAGCATGGCCTTGTTGTCTACGTACAAGACTGGAGGAAAACGAGGCGGCTCTCCAAGGTCAGTCAGCAGGTAGGTGAGCCAGCAAAGCTCCTGGGCAGCCATAGCCCCGGCGTAGATCTCAGCCTCACAACTGGAGCCGAGGATAGAAGACGAGCGGGTAGCCCGCCACGAAACAGAGCCGGAACCAAGGCTGAAGGTGTAACCCTGTGACGACCGCTGCGTAGCCTGGTCGTCAGCCCAAGAAGCGTCTGCGTGCCCAGTGAG